TAATAATAATAATAATAATAATAATAATAATAATAATAATAATAATAATAATAATAATAATAATAATAATAATAATAATAATAATAATAATAATAATAATAATAATAATAATAATAATAATAACAATAATAATAATAATAATAATAAAATAATAATAATAATAATAATAACAATAATAATAATAATAATAATAATAATAATAATGATAATAATGATAATAATAATAATGAAAATAATAAAAGTACGATAATGATATTATTAGTAATGACCCATCATTACTAAATGTTCTGCAATGAATTATTATGACCATTTTAGCTTCTCTCCCATCTTCACCATACATACCTTGATATCAGTAGTACCAACATCTAAAACATCAAATGATACTTCATGATTTCGAGATATGCATGCAAAAACACCCAGTTTATTCCTTAGGTAGTTTTTGTTCTTTCGGAAAGTGAAAATTATTATTCATTCCTAATAATGTTTGCACAAGCAACCGATAAGCAACGATAAAATCTTTTGCTTTTCTGGTTTCAACTAGTCATTTAACTAATTTTCAATTCAATCAAACGATTAGAAGATAATGCTTTCAAAATTAATGAAGAATAAATAATATGGGATTCGTTTAATTCCACCCAAAAACGGCATTATTCGAGCATATTGTTTTTTCTGTATTTTAATTACATTCGGTAATAAATATCTGATTAATTTTAACAACAAATTAATTCCCAGTTTAGTACCAGATATGATCAAATCATGACAAGAAATTTGGAAGATACTATCAGTCATATGCTGATTGATTAAAACCGAATGATCCAAAGTGATAAAAATTTATGCAACGAATAAATTATAAAAACTCTAATAATATAAGATCACTCTAGATCAATGTGAGCTAAAGAATAAACCATACATCAATTTTAGTAAACAATCAGTGCTGAGTAAATTTCAGTTTTAAATATATTCTTATCACCGATTTGAGTAATAAAATTCGGTGATAGCAAAGTTTTTAGAATCAAAATAGTCATCAATTTTCTGATTATCTCTAATCATCACTTTCAAGATTTTATGTACTTCTTAAAGTTCGATATATTACTTGTAAGTATAAATGTTTGATTTAAAAACAAAAAAGCATATTTAAAATTATGGGTGATGAGGCCGAAGGTGAACCTTTCGGTAGGTCTCTACTATTCTCAAGATTGTTTTTTTGATAAAAAAGTTTGGTTACCTCAAATAGGTAACCATCAATCTATGATAATCACCTCGTATGCCATGAAAATTCTGTTACACTGCCCTATCAGCAAATAATAACTTATCATATCACAAGTAACCTACACTATTCATATTTGCAACCTGCAACAAATGTGTTGTTATGCATGTTTGCTTATATTATTCAAGAGAATACTCCAAATGGTTTGATCAGTAAAAATTGCACTAATTCTGCAGAACTTCATGCTAATCAATCATCAAGATTTAAAGAGCATGCACGTATTTCATGCATCATCCACAACTATTCACCAATACTAGAATTGCGTTCTAGTAAAACAAGTAGTGATGATCGTAGAAATATACGATTTCCATTTTGCGAATGCAGTACTAACCTGCGATATATCGTGTTCGATATATCTTCTTCCATTTGTTTCTGCAAAAATTATTCAATTGAAGAAGTAATAATTATTTTATAGAAACCTTTCGGAATTTCAAACTTCGTTGAATTTTTTTTAACAGCAAATATTTTAAGAGTAGCAGCATACATAGTAGTATTTAGCTATGGTATGTACATTTAACCGATGAACTGAATGCAAACAATTCAGCATAACAGATCAAACTAACGGAATCATCTAACGGATAGGATTAAACCGGTGTAACATGGTTTTCCCTATGCATGACAGATAATCTTGGTGATTGAAATCTTGGAACATAAAACATATGAACTTACTGGTTTCTTTTACGTAGAACAGACGCTGATTTGTCGTACTTTCCAACTTTTGAATATTGCAACTGAATGAAAAAACCATTTACGTTTTGAAAAAAAATTGAAACTTTTTACGCATGAAACTGAATGTCAAATCCAATCCAAACTTTTTGAACGGTCATTTTTCCAATCATTGCTAATATTTTAAATTTTACAACAATTCAGCGGTTTCTTGCTTATCTTACCTGCATTATATTTTTGCTTACTCTATTAACGCACGTTAAGTTCATTGAAATAATATAGCAATCAATTCGGTTTCTTTTTCAATTCTACCAAATTAACTTACTTAAAATGTATACAATAGAACACAGCATGATAAAAACATGAACTGCTATTAATCATAAAAATTAAATATTCAGAAAGCTTTAAAACAATTTTTATCCTTAATTTTATATTGAAAAGACTAAATTATTAACTGAATTGCCATGAAATACACTTATTCTAATTAAAATAACCTATGTGTTATAGTGTAGGTAAAAGGTAGCGTGTATGACATAGTTTCGCATGAAGTACTTGAATTTGGTGGTATTTCAGAATCCCAAAAAACATTTTTAAAATGTCAGATTATGACTTACTTCTTGTTCCATTTTCTTATCGGGTGAACTTTGTGACCGTTGTGTGGTGTCATCTGAAACTACAATTTCGGAAAAATGAAATCAAAAAAGCCTGATCCAACATATCCGATCAACATTAACTTCAAGTAGCACTGTTGAGTTTTGCTTATAATTTCAGGTTCTATTTCCTCAGCTTTTTTTTTTTGACAATTGAAGGATTGTACATTTCATATCTAAGCAAGGAAATGAAATTATCGTTTGAGATTAAAATCATCGGACCATTTTTGCTTTTCATTTCTTGATTGGCTCTTCTGTTTACTGTTTCTAATTGTATCGCTCTTCTTTTTGCCTGATTTCCGAAATGACAATAAAGTGATCGTTTTTGTCCCACTAAAAATATCCAGTGCCTTGATTGTTTAATGGTAAAATCTACGATGTCAATTAAAGTTTACATATTTGTCTCAACAAGAATTCGACAACCAATCTTGAATTCATGCTAAATAAAAAACTTTAGGAAAGCAATCCAAAGCCCCTATAACTCCTGGGAAGTTAGATTGAATTTTGGAATCAAACACTTCACCAGTTTTAAATACGAGAAATCAAATAATTTCAAAAGAAAAACAATCTAAGCAACTGCCTCCTATCTTTCGTTTATCAGTCACATCAAACAACCCGTTTCAACCACTGACAATAAATCCAATGCTCCCAAAGACAACAGAAGGCTTATTTATATACATTCAGTATGAACGGAGTCTGTTACTGTCCCTTGCAAATTTTGAAATTTTATTTGAAACACTTTTAGAATTCAAAGAATGGAACAATGCCAAGATAAAAATAATACATGAAACTATGAAAACTTCGTTCATTGCCTGCATATTTCAATAATTTAGAAAATATTTTTTGTATTCGTAACGCGTAAATTGCACTACAAATTTTGTGCGCAGGTCGTGCTGTATTTCACTTCAAGCATTAACCCCGATAAGTCGACGCAGAGACAACTTCAGTTACAATTCTTAAACTGATTCATATTATTTGCCGAATCAAACAATTTACAAATGTAATGGTGGTATAGTAATCAAATACTGATTGCATAGAAAGTAATTACAAGCAAACAACTGCTACAAAGAACATTTGACATCAGCAACAAATGAAGTTTTACTATCGTACATTTTCTTTCGAGATTTTCTTGATGGCATCGGTAAGCAAACACCATTTTCAGCCAGTGCTTCCGCTTGACTTAAAGCTATTCGATCATTTGCTGGTTGAAATCTAACCTAAAATTTCAATTACCCGGAAATCACTAGTATCTCACACGAAGTAATAGTGCTGTCAGCGAAAGAATTTTCTCCATCACTACTTTCACTTTTTATCAAATATATACATTTCAAACTGATAAAATCATACTTTGATATCTTTGCATAAATCCATGATTCTCAGATACTGATCATGATACCTCACGTAGGAACCATTAGCTTTCAACCACTGACGTGAATGGTGAACCAAAAAAGAAACACAGTCAGTACGAAGGACAATACTACGGTAATTTTGATCCACGGCCTAAAAATCTCTTTTTAGAATTAGACTGTAGTATTACGTAGCAAAAAACTGAAAAGAAAATCATAAATACCTTGAAATGGTTTACACCTGCTTGAAAAGAAAATATTAATCAGGGATTTAAACTCTACAGCCACCTGTTGAAGAGCGTCAATTATAGCCTGTAACTGACATCGAACCAAAGTTACTGGATAAAAATTATAACGTCTGCCGATACCGAGCTCCTGCGCATGTGGCCAGTAAACACCACAACCTGCTTTGACGTGTTTCTTTTCATTTCCTTCGGTGTGCAAAACGCCACAGGTATAGACAATAGGAACACTGCCACTCAACAGGTTTTCAGAAACACTAGAAAGAAACAGTTTAACAAAACAGATCAGTTTACCGTATCCTGTTTGGAAGCCAGACATGAATATATTCTTAGTGGAGATTAATCAGACTTTTAAACAATTTCCATACTTACTAGTTTTTCGAATCGGCTGCAGATGATGTTTCTGGTACAAATAAACCTGAAATTATGTGAATGAAAATATTTGACGCAATAACAAAGTGCAACATGATTTTAACCGGAAACTGCTATAATTATCTGGACATTCAATAGAATGGCAGACCGATTGTAACTTTGTATTCGGAAGAACCGTAAGACCAAAAATCAGATCAACTTACATACCCTGCATATCATCAATGATCTAAGGATTTAATGATGTAATAACAGTAGCATATTTTCGCTGCTACTAATTTCTAATTACTGCGCAATAAATTGATGCCAAATATTTGTCACTTACCTATGCCTTTTTTCTGCACTTTTGCCACAGTTGCTGTGGATGAAGGAATTTTTGTAGTGAGCTTGTTTTCTGAAATTATATCAGATTTCTGCTCATTTACTTTCTTGCCCAGTAAATTTTCGAAAAATCTTTTGGCTGTTTCCTCAACGGAAGAACTGTATTCGATCGTAGCCTAAAAACCACGACTTTAAATAAAATTACAAAAATTCATCGAAGCTCTTTTGAAATGACAACTGATCTGTAAAACATATTTGCTTTAAAATGGTTTGAATAGCTTCAATGAATTAAGAAATGATTAGGACTCAATTGCTCGCCGAAATACCAGAGATTCGACCCTTGATAATAAATACATTGGAGATTGAACTGCGACAAAAACACAATGCTGAATGTTCATACATCAACCATGTGCAATAACCGGTACAGATCTCCAGCTTCTGTTAAACAGGAATTAAACGTCATCGACTTTTCTTGTAGAAATTCGTCCAAGCTCCACCATAATGACATCTTACCAAAATGCTTCCAGACGAATTTCGAATTCGTAACAATATGGATACAAGGCAAATTCATTTGAAAAATTGCCTGCAATGTTACAATCCTAAAAACAATATATGAGCAATTTCACGACTTCCAGCTTCATTCTTATCTTTTCTAGTGGTAATGTCACAAAAACAAAGTTATTGTGAAATTTGCTGGAACAAAAGTACCAGAGAACAGCATACTTGCTTCAGTGCTAAGCATATGGCTTCAATTTCAGCCTTCGTTATCGATCGTCCTGGATGCTCCTAGAAAGAAATGTTTCTACAAGTAACATAGATCCGATTTTTAGTTCACACAATATTCATACGGCCTGACAATAATTACGAAAAATCTTGGCAGTTTTTGCTCATAAAAAAGTCTACCAGAAGGGTTCAAATTGACTTAAAAAAAAAAAAAAGCACCTTTAATCGATTACATTTGCTGTCACCATCCCAACAAACTGCTATAATTGGATTGTTGGAATTTTCGGGACTATGTACGAAAGCTTTCACAACTGGAACACTGTAAGAAATAACAGAAGTAAATAAAAATTTTAGTTATTTCAAACTAGAATAATTTCCCGTAAATCCATAATTTACACAAGCCAGTCAAGTCATTCTATGATGACATGATTCCGTTGTATATATAAGTTCACAATTTTTGAATTATATCGTCCGTTTGCTTCTATAAAATTTCCCGCTCTTTCCTGAGTCTAATCTAGCATCCTACAGCACATAGTACGGAGTTCTAATCATAACTTCCCTCCCTCTTCAATAGACGTTTAATTCTAGTCGTAACAACATCGACAAATGGAATGAATTCCACTTCAATAGTTCTTTTCCTTTCACAAGTTCTCTTTCACCTTTCACAAGCTTAGATGAATCTTTATAGTTGAGAGGAAGCATACCACATCGCAGATGACACCGAAACATAGAAAAGAAGAGGAAAAGGTAAAGTTTCAAAAGTTTCGGATAGCAAGTTGATAGGTGAATAAAGATAGTCATCAAATTAACCGGTGGTGATTTAACCAACAAATGCATAAAATCTAATGGTTCAACACCTGACAAGCAACTTCCCATATACGCGGGAGAAAGACAGTCCAACTAAGCTAACAAACAATATATCTAACAAAAATACAAAATAGTGGAAATTTAGTACTCGTTCGAATTATTTGATGCTTCCGATGAATATAATGATTTGCTCTCAATGTTTGAGGATGTGTCCAGACGTGCACGTACATGCCGTATGTTAGTATATAATGCCAATTGACGACTAGTACATAAAGCGGCAATTGTACGCTTGCCGATAACAGAATGTGTAGAGATGAATAACTGTAGCGATTTCAGCCAATCAACAGCACGAGAGAGCGATACAGCTCTCATTCAAAATAATATCTTCTTTACCGGATACTGAAAAAAAAAATTGCTCAATCGAAATGAACTACACAATTGTAATTGACCAAATTTTTATATCGTAATGGCATTCCATAAAGGAAAGTGTATAATCGGAATATCTTCGCCGAAAAAAAAAAATTCGATCAACTAAATTTTTGCACCGCAATAACATTTCGTAATGGAAACTGTATAATCGGAATATCTTTCACTACGCTGTCAATTGAATTCGAAAAATACTGTTCTCGTGAGATCAAGATATACATTACCGTTGCATGCAACGAGTTTGAAACGGTTATTCATGACGGGCAAATTCAGGATCATGTCATCTGAGAGTGGTTCAGGTTTGCTGATTACCTATTGGTTTGATTGTGGTTGGGATGGTATTGCGTGTGTTTTGATTCATTTCATTTATTTACTTTCTCTTTCTATCTTGATTTTTCATGTTCTCTTACTGTTTTTAATTTATTTTCTGTGTTGTTAGCTGTTCCAGTTATTTGCATACTTAATTACCTACTTCCCGCCATTTCATAACGACATACTTTATTAATTTATCAGTTGCTTTAGTTAACTACTTACATGATTATTTTTTGCTTATTTACTCTTGATATTCAGTTGCTTGGGTTTCAGTTTGCTTGTATTTGCCCAGGTTATACTTCAATTAGGCATACTGCAAGTTTTTGCAAGAATCCGTCCTTATTTTGTTTTAATTATCTTGTTTCTCTTTGTTCCGTCTTTCTTCCTTTTTCTCTTCTATTGGATTATTCTAAATCGTCCATTTTCATTGCCGTCATGTTTCTAGTATACTTACATTATTTCAGATTTTAAACTTCCCACACTTCTGTAATTTTTGGGTAACTGATCACTGACCTCATGGTTTTTGAATTATTCTGATTCTGGAATACCTGTATTTGGTATTTTGTTACACATACATATAACAAAGTATCGGATTTCCATGTAAGCAATAATGCAGGTAATTGATTTATTCCTTGTTTTAAAAGTTTGAATGTTGTTCTGTCCAAACTTCTTTAATAAGCAAAACCTTCTAAATTTGGTTAAATTCATTCCTGAGCTAAGAAATGTTTTTTGACTTGGGATAGATATGGATTTGTTCGTAACATGTGGATGAGGGACAGATGAATTTGTTCATAACACATGGATGATCTTAGTAATTGCATGAAGCTCATAAGCCGGTTTATCATTAAAGCAAAAATTTTCATGGATAGCTTTGTCCTAGCATACAAGCTTACCCATAAAGTTTTTGATAAAATTTATGTTTTCAGTCGGACGACCCTCCATTTTTAAGTGTTGGCACTGAAGTTAGTGCGAAATTTAAAGGAGCATTTTGTGAGGCTAAAGTAAAACGTATGACGAAATCTGTGAAATGTAAAGTAAGTTAATGGTACTAAAATTTACATAAGACTTCAATATTAAAATTAAAACT